TTCAGTAAAGTCAAGATTCTTACTTTAGAGTGGTATTTCTGGAATTAGTAGAAGAATTTGAATACTATTTGTAGTTGAAGGTGTTCACTTTTGCTAAAGAAATGGAATTTTTTCTTAAATTTTAACTTTTCAAAAACATCGAAGATCGATAGATAAAAAAAATGATTATGCTCAGATTTATTCAATCCTCATCCACATTCCACGTTTTGCTATTAATTCAGTCTAGGTCTTATTTGAACTAAAACTCTATCATAACTCACATACATTCAATAGCAATTTCTTTTATTTTATTATTATTATTTTTTCATCTGTCTGTGAACCGTTAGAGTTTTCAAATCAATGAATTCTATTCGTTTACCTTCGGCTTGCCAAAGCTCAACGTGTCTTCCGGAATCGACGAGGCGAAGATATTGACTTTGTCCTTCAATTCCAACAAATATCTCTTCCTTTCTCATCTTGGAGGTTGTCGCCTTCAGGCTCGTCCAGCAGCTTCTAAATTGCCCGGAAGTCGGTAGATCGGAATCGTAGTGAAGACGACACGCTAAGTCGATCGTTAAGGAGACTCACGTACTCAGCATGTTGACGCTTGTTCAGAGAATCCTCTGTAGATTCTGATCGGGGTCATTGTCTTTGATAGCTCTAGTGACCTAAATCGTGCTTCACGTAGTGTCGTCTGTAAGAGGTTACGATCTTCAACCAGTTTTTGATTTCCTTTTTTTAATGCTAAAGTTAAGACATTTTGTCGAATTTCTGAGCATCTTTATTGTTAAATCCACTTTTTTAGTTTAAATTTAGATTTATTTTAATATTCAATAAGAATTATTGAAACATTATAACAATAATTTTAAATGTTATCAATAGATGATTTCATTATTTAATTTGATTATTAAAAATAATCAAAATACACACAGACATTATATGATTGTACAATTCGACGTTATTATTGGAGTAAAAATTAATATGTAAGTTTAAATTAGAATTTTTTTTATGAAAAATTTTTTTAAAATTATTTTTAAAACAGACAAAATATTCAATAACTTGTAATATTTGTATAAAATATAAATTTTCACTCATCTATAAAACTCTAAATAAATGGACTGTTTTTTTTATAGAAAGTATTAACAAGTCAAATATTCTGCAAAATAAATATCCATTACTACCGCAAAAAAATTGAATTCGTAGTTTTATCATGACCTATATATTTTTGACGATCGATTTATGCTCCCAACATGTGTTTCTTCAATCCTGCCTTTCCCTCATTTGCAAGGTTCTGTAATAAAAATTCGCTCGGCCTTACGAATACGAATATTCAATCATAAAAATGCAGATATTAAAAGGCTATGGATTTCTGGCTGAATATACATTTTAAACGATTGAAACAATATTTTTTTATTACAAAGTTCAAACTTTAATCGGTCCGTGTGAATTAAAGTTTGACAAGTGAATGCTAGTAAACGTATACGAGCAGCAGCAATGGTTGAAAATTACATTTAGTCGGAAACGTGGACCCGTGAAATTGGTCTCCGTCTGTGAAGCTTTGGGACACAGCAGCGATTCATTTTATATGATACGAACACAAGGGAATTCTGTGAATCTCTCGGCGACATTCAAATGGTCATAGAGTAAAATCCATGCATGACCCAGAACCACTTGGTCTCTTGTCAATATGCTTATATTGACTTCTTCCTCCCTAGTTGCCTGTCCGGTAGATTTCTATCCAGCATTGTTACATCTTTCGAAGCTGGAAGGAGCAAATACAATAGTGTAATGCGTTGGATATCGATAATACATGGAAGCACAACGCGTTGTACATGCAAAGAACTCTATGAATAAAAATGACTTTGTCTAGATAAACTCAAACTTCTACATTCGTGTATATACATCAGACAATACGTAATCGATATCCTGCCAGAGGGAAATTGATCGTATATATTCTGCTGGCAAGTATGTACATCCTTACATGGACTACTTAATTTTTATTCTCATTCTTTTTATTTGTGAAACCTAAATACCAGGATAAATCACTTGTATTGATGAGAATAAAATTTATATCACTTTGTAAATTTTTCTAAAAAAAAAAGCTCACTTTTACAATACTTGAGATTGTGTCCAGTTGAAACTATTCAACAACTTTTAAAGGGTAAAAGCATTCGCTCGTCAGAGAATTCGTTGAACGAAATGTAATCTCAACTTCTTGGCGATCAGATTCTTTTCTTAGGACTCTTTCTGCCTTTGCAGATACTTTTTCTTAAACCTATGCGTCTTAAAAGTTTGGAAAAATTTATAGTTCGAAACATATACAATTGAAAATGTGATTTCATTGTAATACTGTGATAGTAAATCAATAATTAATTTCATCGTGAACAACTTGTATTAGTGATATTTATTTTTAAATAAATATCTACATATCCATGTCTATCTTTGAGATGTTTTAAACTTGATATTACTATCTGGTCTGGATATATTATTTGTTGGATGTTTTAATAGTTGGTAGTGATTCAAAAAGCTTGGATGTCATGTAATTGCTATCATGCTAAATAATACGTGTGGTTGATGCTGACAGCTGACAAGCAAGCTTAACCACATGCAAAAGCATACTTGACATTATGTCAACATGTGGTATAATTGTCATTTTCATATGTTGCCCAAGCCTAACATAGATTTGGCTTAATTTATTAGCTATAATCTGCACTTTGTACTATCATTAATACCAAGTGAGGATAATTTTTTGCTGACCCTCAGCTGATGTGTGATTAAACATTTATATTTTAAAAAAAATATCAAGTGGTTATAAACAAACTCTTGATGATTTTTAACAATGCGTTTAAATCAAATAGCAAATATACATTCTGTAGATGATATTTATTTAAAGAGAACCAATTGCGAAATGTTTTTAGAAATTTTACATCAAATCGTAATCTCTGATAGAATAAACGAAAATTTTTATATATATTTTATAATAAAATGCATCAGCAGTATTATCCAGTGGAAAATCGAATCATGTTTATGCGTGTTTTTTGCAAATAAATGAAAAATGTTGTCGTTGGAAATACACATGTAGAGATCGGTCGATATACACTTGTATTTTTATGTTTATCTTCCATATTGACCCCATCATAATTCTGCCAATAGCAAATAATAATATTTACCACTTCTATAATATTATTTTTCTCCTGAAATTTAAATTTTAATTAATTATCATAATTTCAAATCAAATAATAAATTGTATAATTTTTATCCATGTCAATATTGTCAAAGAAAATTCATGAAAATAATTTTACCACACTTTAAAATGAAATCAATTAATTTTCAAAATTTCATTGGGTCATTTTTTAAATGCTGCTAAGTAGTTGAGGTACTTACCAGTTATATCAAAAGTATTATTCCATGTTTTTCTCCCTACAGTTAATGTTGGAATAATGTCCGCATACTGAAATTATTAACATCTATATCCAGTTTATTATGATGCTCATATGATGCTCTCGTTATCATTTATAAGATAGTAATGTTGAATTAGGTTTATTAGAGTTCTCGAATAATAACCATTAGTACTATATCATAAATACTTGAATGGCGTGAATCGAGTACTTTATGATAACTATTTTCAGAGTAATTATCGATTTGGAGTTGAAATAATGTATAATATTCCTCTCTAACAATAAGATTATATTTATTCATGTTCATATTTCATTTAATAGGATTGGCAAAATTATTAATTAAATAATTCATAACTCTATCAATAATTGTATTTCATTATCGAATAAGTTGTCAACTAGGATCTAAATTTAATAATGAAATCACCACGAGCTCACAACGAATAAATGAGAATTCAAAATGACGTGTGAAACCCTGGAAGGTTGGTTATGCAGTATTTTATATTCATAACCTTTTTAATAAAGTTTAATCAAGTTTATAATGATAGCGATAAATATTTCGAGCTGTAGGAGTCTGTTTATGAGTTAAGAGACTCATTTTTATAAATGAAAAAAATTCAGCTGCATATAACGTATCTCTTGTGATTGAAGTTGAACACTTACATCCTTTCTGATTAGTGAGCATGTCATTAATTTCTACCAGATGAGAAAGTTTGTAAAGTCAACTTAAATTTTGCCTTAACTTCATCAAATCCATTAGCTAAATATTCATTAATAATCATCAGAATTTGTTTAATATTCTATCCAAAAAAATGGAATGTCAGTAATGAAAAGTAACGTAGAGACCTTTTGCATCATCAAACTAATAATGCTGAATCCCTTGATCAAGTACAGAATCTTTATAGCTCAAATTAGGAGTTATTAACATCAGTTTAGTGATGTTGGTAAGTAGCGAAGGGCCAAATTTTGTCAAAGGAAATGATTAAGCTTTGATGAAACAAGTGAATTTCTCGAACGATCTAACAGACTTTCGATGATCAACAAATAAACACTTGTGCATAAATTAATCTTCCACCTGATATTCCTGATAATAAATTTCATCTTACTTGGGTTATTATCAAGTTCACTTGTTACTTTCAATAATTATGCCAAAGTTGAGTGTTGAAAGGAAAGTCAAACAAAATAAAGCTTTAAAGCATCAGAAGAGTTTTCTCCAACACTTCTTATTCACTTTTCTTATGTCCTCAATATGTTCACCAACCCTCCAAGTTGACTTTGTTTGCTGCATAAGGCCACTGTTTCTCGAGGTCACGCTTGAGCTTTGCAGTGCAAGCAGGTATTTTACGGGTCACTGCTTACATATCCCTGCAAAGTTTCCTTGTTACAAATGCAAAATTCAAGTAGAACTGCACAAGAGTGTTAACGAAAATTTTTGTCGTTGTATGAATAAAACTTTACAGTTTATATTCCACGCCTCGGCACGTATTTTCATTTGTTCATATGAAAGGTAGATTGCTGTTGTACAAATGCCAATATCTCTGTCACAGCAAATGCTTTCAAAGGAAATTACTTTATTATTTTACTAAATAAATTATATCATTCATAATTAATTTATTTTTTTTTCAGGTATCCTGGCAGCATTTTCTGATATGCAAACAGTTTTCCTCGCCTGCATTTCAACTTTACTGCCATTGATCGTCGCTTTGGCAATTGTTTTTGGTGTAAGGTAAATAACATTCATATTATTTTAAATGAGAATTTATTTCTGACATTAAAAAAATAAAATATGAAATCTCCTTTATCATAAACCTCTTTAATAAAATTGCATTCTGCTACGAAGTTTGCTTACGGCGAGTTCACGTTGTGAAATACTTGATACTTTGGCTAATTAACACCCACAATTTCATTGATCATTGGAGCATTAACTTTCGTGTTCACTTCTCAAATTGCTTAATTAATGTTTCAGAACGTCTTTCGATTCACAAGTGAATATAAATTATCCTCAGGAACCTAGATGATTGGTTGGACTATTTTGTTTGCTTGTAAAATTATCTATCAATAATTTATCTCAACAAGAACAGAATTTATTTTGACATTACTGTCATGCTTTGTAATAAATGTAGAAAAATTTTATCACCAAGTTCAATATTTTTAACGAAAAAATTCCTATGAATAACATATGTGAATGACAAAAATTCTTTTAATATATTCGACAATTTCCATTGGAGCTAAATTTATGCAGTGACATTTGTCAGGTTTGCATTTTGATTTTTCATGGTTTCACTTTTTGTAAATATATATTGAAATCAATCATTGCTGTTACAGTTATAGTCTATTGATTCGATAAGAGCTATTTTTTGTGTTCATCAAAGGATTAGGGTATTGGAGAAACTTATCCACCTACTTGGATTTTATCTCTCCTAAATCCAGAACTAGATCCCTGTCTATTTGGCCACCTATTCTATTCTAAGAACTATTACTCCAACACTTCATTTTGCGATCATACTATTTCACTTTACAATTGTCATAAGTCAGCAAAAACTGGATTGCAGGAAAAGTCGTAACTCTATTGAAGATGGCGCCTATTCTAGAGTAAAGCGAGAACATTGACATTGATTAATGTTGTGATTCAATGGCAAGTAGTATGCACTTCATATACACACTAGGTCAACCCTTTTAGATCGTGGGAGCAAGTGAATGTTCGACTATTCGGTATACGACTGACATGGGTGCATTCATATAACACCTTCGTTGGCGTGTCCCATAAATTTCTCGTTTGATTGATCGAGATATCGTCGTTTTTCTACTCTCTTTTTTGTTTTGTATGACTAGATGACACGTAATTTGTTTAACTTTTCAAGGGAAACTCAATTATTTTGTATGCTTGTATTCTCAACTACTGACTCGTTGGAATTGATTGTGAAAAAGTATCCCCAGCAAATCTAAATTAAATCTTAATTACAAACATTTAAAAATTCTACGATATTTTTTTATCACTATTTTTACATCCATAACCATATTTTTGATGCTTTATTTTCTCCACGTGATAAAAATGAAGAGCTAATGGCTACTATTTCTATCTTCATTCGATCAATTTTTCGAGATATAATGTGTTTTCGATATTTTCTAATTTAACAAAATCTGTATGTTTCATATATTCGCCAATTTTTAAATTAACAATTCAAATAAAACTGTTGTTGTTATTGATAGTTTTTCATTAGACTTGGTAATTAATGTAAAAAATCGTATAAAAGATGAATGTCAAAAAAGAACAAATACCAAAAGATCTTGTATTTTTTGTCAAAAGTATTTTTATTATGCAAGTACTATCATAAATTTTTGAATACCAACTTTATGACCTAGCTATTTTTTGTACTTTGTCATTAACATGCTAACGGCAATATAAAATAAAATTTCAGTAGAAGTATAAAATTATTACTTTAGAAGCAATAAATTTATTGTATTTATAATTATTAGAAAGTGTGCAGCTGTTTTTGGTTTTTTAGAAAGTCCAAAATTTTTACATCATTTAAAATAATTAACTAATACTAAAGGATTTCAATGAAATTGATAAAAGTAGTACAAATTAAATTGAAGTAATCACCAGAATTAAACAGATTCTTACAATAAAAAATGTTGGGTTTCAGGCATGCTTGGAGAAAATACAGACACAGAAGAAATGGAGCAAGTAATTTGCCCTGGTATCGTGGTGTTTGTTCCCGTGATGATACTGCAGAATCTCTTCATCATCGCCCTCATTCCGGTAGTATCAGCATCTTACCAGCAACACGAGTATTATCAGCTCAAGACGTGAGTTAATAACCATTTTTATTTATTTATATACATCACCTTTTTTATTTCAATTTCTCGTTCCGGTTATGTTGAATATGCGAAATTTATATCATATCATTTACATCTAGATTACGAGCAATTAAAAGTTGAGAATAGTTTTGTAATACTATCAGAGAATTTAATCACTGACAACGACAGTTGGCATATTAGGTAAACATGCGACTATAATAGTTTCAACTTTGACAATTGGTTCTTGTTGTAACGAGAAATATGAAGGATTTTAAATCTTTCATTGACGTTAAACTAATAGTCTAGTGTGTTTTATTTATATTTTCTTTTCATATAAAATCACAACATGATGACATATTTTTCTTATATTTTCTGAGGTAATGGAAAATATTTTTTTTGTTGTTATAAAATTCTGTTTCATTCACAACGAACAGTTATTATATATTTTATTGCCCACTCGACAATAGTTCTCTGATATTGTAAAAAATATTAATCCTTTTGCAAAAGTATTTTTTAATATTTTTTAGAGTAAATAGGAGTTTATGAATGACATAAATTCCATTGTAAAAAAATAATTTTCTAGCTTTCTAATAAATAGAAATATAAGTACTTTCTAAATTTCAAAAAAAAAAAAACAATCTCACATACACACAAGATTATGATAGAAAAAAGTATAGTACACTTGCCAAATGTTACTTTTTAACCTAACATGCTCTTGCTTTTTCTTTTTATTTACTCCATTTCATATAAACGATTAGAGAAAGAAAGAAGCGGATATTTGGCAAGTATACCATACAAAACGTACACTAAACACAATGATGACATTCTATTACGTGACTGTTGGTATAATTGCTTTTTCTGGTACTTTACTGGTTATTTTTTTTATCATATTTCGAGACTTTGGAATTTATATTAAAAAATCTTTCTACTCAACTTGATAATCAAATAAATTATCAACTTATCAACACATAAAAGGTTTTTACCAAGTAAAGAACTTATCGTCTTTATATAAGTGGCAAGTAAGTCGAGGATTATAAAAACTTGAGAACTGAATTTAGACACGTTAATGGATGATACTTAAAGAAAATCGATAAAAAGTTATTAAGAAGCACGATTGACATTAATAGATAAGTAAAATATGCTTTTTATATGTATTTAGAAGCTTATAGAATATTCCATAAAGCTTTATAGTAAACATCAGTGGTTATAAAGCTTGAGAAAATTTTACTTCCAATCATCTTTACCTTGACTAATTTTTTTTTTTTGCTCATTCTTGATCTTATATGATGCTTAAAAAAGCTACCTTGCCTTCAGTGAGTTGCGCACTTGACGAGAATAGCAGATCCTACACTGTTTCTCCATTATTGGGAATTACGAAGATCGTGTTCCAGCTTCACGAGGACGTTGATCCGACCAGGTTAAAGCCTATGAAAAAAAATTGACTCTTGACTACGTTAAATATGAAAAATGTCTAGCGCGTTGTGTAACAAGAATTATGGTAGTTTCACATGGGTCAATAATTTATATTGAACTTCAATCAGTGACATTGTATAGACGTTGTTGATAGATGGTTTTTTTTTATTTTTGATTGTATGCGTTGGTTGTGTGGATTGTTTTTGTGAGTTCATCAGCCGCAAGCTCTGTTTGATTATCCACAAGTAGTGTTTCATGTACCTATAAGAAGCTTACTTAGATCTACAGCAACTATGGATGATTGTGGTCAAATGAGCAGAGGTATGGTGGATCCCAATTCACCAGTTTCAGAAACATGTTCTTCGTTATTTTAAATACAGAAGCAGTGCACTCTGCTATATACAGTTTAAGTTGAACAGTCCGTATGAGAAATTATTCTGTCTATTACTAATTCTCATTCAAATTCTCTATGCTGTAATATTTCTAGTTAACTGAAAGTTGACAACAAGTATGGCTGATGATCAAAGTACAGCTTGGAATAATTTGCATTTCATATTGAGTTATATGAAGCATATTATATCCATCAAGATATTTTTGAATATACAGTTGTTTGAATAGTTGATAATTAATCGTATGTACATATTTCGTTTCTATCAATCATTTATTCCAGTATCGTGATCAAGAAATCATGAGGTACCATGTAACTTTTATTGAAAAATTAGTATAAACTTTCTTCTTGTGTTGTTCTACATGGTATAACATTTGAAAATTATTCAAAAGTTTTTCAATTCTTTTTTGTACTAAGCGAAATGAACTCCAAAAGTTCGTGACTCATGGATGAAGTTCATAAATACTAAAACAGTAGTAAAAAATAAAAGTTGCAAAAATATTTTATGTCTTATCGTACTTTGACAGTTAAATAATTGTTACATGTATTTTCATAATTAATAGTTATTTTTTAATTGTTGTATTTTTTACAAAATTGATTATTAAAATGAGATTTCCTTGATACTAGGATAAAAATATGATAGTCGAATCAAAAAAGTGTCAGTTAGAATCTCGTTTAATGTTTCTTTAATTCGAAGAAAATTACAATCATTTGTAGAAGTACACCTGTGCACATATTCCAAGTGGTTTTAGGTTTTCGTCAGTTTTTGCTATTCACAACGATTTTTCTTCAACTTAGACCTTCTTTTTCCAGCTGACTTTGATTTGAGATTTTCTTACCAGATGGTGTCTACATTTTTCCCATAATTAGACCTCATAAAAATTCAATGTCACTAGAAAACGAATATTATTTATTTTGTCAGTCATCATTTCTTTATTATTATTCAACAATTTTTACCCTACTCTTCGTTAATGAAATAATTGAAATGTAAAATCCAAGTGGATTGAATAACGCGTAGCTACATGAAATCTTGGATTAATTGAAAAAGAATAAAAAATTAAACTCAATCAGATTATCAAGTAATGAGAACTTTACTCATCCGCTTAAAATCAGTTAAGCTTGGATATCATCACTTGTCATTTATTTTGTAATTATCTTCGTGTTGATGAGGATTAAAATGATGTCAAGTTTTCAATGTGATGTTCACCCAAGAGTTATTTATAAAAGTTTCATCAGTAATTTTTTGTTATAAAAAAAATTTGAAAAAGTCAAGTGATAAATGAATGCTCGTTTAATTGTGTTAAGTAGAAAAATAAGCTTGGAATCGAATTATATAAGTCAAGCTAGGAAAAATGATGAAAAAACCCTGAGACGTAATTAAAAAAGTTTAAGTGCATTATATAATTATTTTGTACTCCTTTTTTTACCATCTTATTAAATATAAACAATAACTAAAATTAATTTATATTAAGTAAAATTGACTGTCAGTATAATATTTACAATCGATCAAAAGTTTGCTTGTAAATATAACTTCTTTTCGTATGTAAATTTACAAAGTTTAACGAAGAGAATGGAAAGAAAATTTAAATGAATATCGTTGACACTATAAATCTACGACAAAAGTTTATCTGCTCCTATCTTTCAACTTTTAATACTTCACATTTGAGTACACGGAAAATAATCAATAAAAAAAAAGGAAAATAGCTATAAAATTTTCTCAACAAAAATGACAAATGGTTACAAAAAATATTGTTCAGGGTATGTGAAACTTTACATTATTCCCTTGACGATAATCGATATATGACACGATGTTTTTTAAGGAAAAAAAAAAGTTCACGAAGCAGCTCCAAGTTTTCACGAAGTCTGTGAGGTTTAGAAAACAAAGAATTAAAAGAACTTGCGGCAAAGCATGAAAGGTTAAAATGAAAAAAAAATAAATTCGCAATCTGATTTTTAGAAGATTTGCTTTAAATGTACTTCAAATTTTGTTTAAAAGACTTTTATTTCTACGAAAAAAGTTATGTGGGATAATGGCAGATTGATGAATTTTAACAAGAGTATATGGCATGGTGTATGTTCAATAGCACTAGCACCTAGGATATCTCTTGGTTGTAAATGGATCAAACGCGATAGGATTAGGGAGGATTTGTTTGACAAATTGAAGGATGTTTCAGTGATCTTTGTAGTAACAATACTGTGAGAAATCAATTGATATTTGTAAACTTGTTGAAGGTTAAGATTTTTTTTGAATAAAAATTCAAACTCTGTAACTATTTTTCGTTTGAAAATCAAACTAAACGAAGCAAAATATTTTCACAGTGAAATCATTATCTGATTTGTTATTCTACAAACTATTAATCAACTTAGTTTTAAACCCATCTATATTTACTATGGAAACAAATTAGTTTTATCGAATTTGGATTTATATTACTTCTGCAATGAAGAAAAATTAAGTGACTTTTGATGTTGTGTAAATTTGTTAATTGGTTTCAATCAAGTTACTATTTATTCGATTTTTGTTTCTTGTTATGGAAACAATTTTTCCAAAAAAAAAAAAAAAAATATAGGCATACAAAATAAAAAATAAATCGAAATCAATATTGACCAAGTCAAAAATGATATCCAATTTTAAAAGCTTTTCCAGCGCTTTGAATATTTGATCTTAAGCTTTATTAGTCTTTATCATCTAGATAGACTTATTACAGATAGATGAGATTCTTAATAAAATATTAAAAGCATTAAAGTGCATTGATGATAATAATAAATAAGAAGAGTTAATTCTCAAACTGTATGGAATTGTTTAAAACATGCATGAGTTACAACATTTTTTTATCCAATGAAAAAAAAAAGGTAATGTTACACTTGGTTTGCGAGCATGTAGTAAACTAAAAAAATCTGATTGCAACGCTATTATACACGTGTCAATGAATCCCAACGAGAACATCAGCAGTCAAAGATTGAACTTGCAGAGAGAACACAATCAATGCTGAAACGAAAACCAATTCTGTAGAAATCCAATCACGTTCAATATGAAGCTTCTCAATTCCCCTTACATAGCAACGTTCAATTAGAAGTGCATTTGAGGCAAGTAACACAAAATTTACGCCTAGAGATTGCGAATTTTGGTAGAAAATATTATTTCCATAACATGGATGTAACTATTGGATTTGAGAATCGCTGGAAATACGCAGCATGTTGAATATTCCAC